TTGTCTCCCTGGAACCCCAGGGTGCACGGCTCTAGGAAACTTGTTCTGGTCAGACTCATTACTTTGTTAGTGGGTACACAGTGCCTTTTAATATGTGTGAGTGGTTTGACACTGGGGATCTCTCAGGGTGTCATTCGTCCTCTGGAACACATCCTGGGCAATCTCCACTAATGCTGACTAGAGCTGCTAGAAGTCATTTTTATCGTCCAGGCTTAAAGGCATTTGAAATTGCAGCTCTTGATAAACTGTGTCCACTCCCCACAGGGTGATTGATTATACAGTTGGGAATCTGTCTTAGTTACTGTTCTACTGCTGTGAAGACACCATGACCAAGGCAACTCAGAAAAGAGTTTATTGGGGGCTTATAGTTTCAGAGCGTTGGCTAGAGCCCGTGATGACAGATCATGGCAAGGAGCATGGCAGGTGTCACACAGGCATGATGCTGGAGCAGTAGCTGAGAGTTTAGATCCACAAGCAAAATGGGGGATGTGGGGGGAGCGCTAACTGGGAAATATCAAAGCCCCACCCCCACAACCAGTGGCATACCCCCCTCCAATAATGCCACACCTCATCATCCTTCCTAAACAGTTCCACCAACTGGGGACCAAGCATTCAAACGTGAGCCTATGGGGGCTGTTCTCATTCAAACCATCACACCATCAATTCCTGGGGTAGACTTAGATAAATAACCTTGCCCACATCAGCTCCCTCCTCTATTCTAGCAGAGGGTAGGAAAGGACAAGGAGAAAGATGCTTTCAAGCACAAGGAGATACCCCTTGCTGCCCTGTCAGGCAGTGAAACCCTGGCTTCTTTCCCCAGCTAGTGAGGTTATTGTGAGTTTACTGTGAGGGTCAGAGCCATGGGCCTTTGCTGTCCTGCCACCTTGTCCCAGAGGACAAAATGAGGTAACTGTAGAGCAGAGTGGGTGAACTTCCCCTCCTCAGAGGTACTTGTTTTCCGAAAGACCATAAAACCTTTTTGAGTATGCACTTTTCTCTCTGCCTAGGTCAGGCCATGAGCCCTGTGGTATACTTTTTTGTCTTTTGAGATAGTTTATCACTGCATGACCCAGGCCTTCAACTCACTATGGAACCAGGGTTGACTTCAAACTCCTGATCCTCCTGTTTTCATCTCCCTAATACTAGAATTATAGGCATGCACCTGGTTGGGATATAAATTTTTTTGTCTCAAAATAAATATACTAGGGTGGTAAGCATTGCTCTGAGCTCTGAGGATTCAGCAATAGGTAAGTCAGGCAAGGTCCTGTCTTCTTGGAGCTCTTATGCCATTAAGAGAGGCAGGCACTGATCAGACTAACAAGTATATAATACACAGAGTTGTAATAATGGAATGCATGGGGATCTGCTGCCCTCTGACATCTGTCTACAATCCCTAGCAGCCAGTACATCCTGCAAGCTCTACAAGGAGAGTAATAACAATTGAAGCACCAGGCATTGTGAACACATTTTACATGTTATTGCTTAATCCTCAGGACAACCCTATCGATCAGGTAGTGTCATTATCATCCTCCTCCTACAGATGGGAGCTCTACTTATAGCTCTGCCCAGAGTAGTCAGTTCAAGCTCCCGGGGCTAGCACACATGATTACTGCATTCCTAGGTGAACAGCAAATGTTCCTGTGGCTCATTGATTTTCAAAAGGTGTTTCAATTCCATGAGACTAAGACAGAAGAACTGGAGTCATCTCTATCAAGTAGGAAGTTGAAGATATGACAGGAAGGAATCTCTTTTCTGGGGGGGGGGTTCTTCTCCACTGAATGCTCTGTGTTGTGTAAGTAACACTTTAAGATAGAAGTTTCCAGAAGAGAAAAAGAAACCACTCCATCAATTGTATTCTCTTCTTTGACTCTGTGGGCCAGATGGAATATTGAAGATAGGAAAAGTTAGTCTCGTTCTGCCTTTGGTGGCATAAAAGTGAAGTAGTGACTGTCAAAGGTCACCTTCCTTCATGGCCATCCAGTGTCACTGCAGGACAGAGATCTATCTAGCTCTTTCAGCAGCGACAGTGCCACTGCAGGGTTTGACAGAGGAAGCAGCTTACCTTTCACTCTTCTGGGCTACTCAGGGTGACGTAGGGCAGAGGTGAGACGGGGAGGGATTGCCTGCTATTTCAGATTAAAGCAGAAGCTACTCATGTACTTGTAGAAAACAAGGAAAGGAAGGGCAGACAGTCAGCAAACACCAGGCAGGTTTAGCTGAAAAGTTCACATGGCTGCAGGCATGTGGGCTAGAGATGCAAGAGGCCCCAGGAGCCAATATCTTAGGTACCTTGTGATGTCCCTGCATGATTCCCGAGGATTCCCTTTTGGCTTAATAAAATACATTCCACTTACAAAGTGCTTTCAAGCTTGCAAAGTATTTTCTTTTTTTGTTGTTCCAGTCCCTCAGTTTCAACTCTGGTTTTCACACTCTCCCTAAGCATAGGTAGGGTGGGTGTTCTTGTGTTCACATGTACACTTAGATAATGGCTAGACTCATAGAGTGGAGGCTGGTGCTGATTGATATCTTCTGATCTCTTAAGCCCCAGGCACTTTCCCTTGGTTTCTTCAGAGAACTTTCTGCTCCTGTCCATGTCTTTTCTCCCACCTAAGCATGGAAGCCCTAGATGGCCTCCAATTGCCATAGCTTACTAATAAATTTATAAAGTACCAACACTGGCTCTAGGGGGTCCCATAGAAAGCCTATTCTGTGTCTCTGGTAAAAGGTCTACCCCCTTAGGCTTCTTCTGAGGCACTGGGACCCAGAACTTGTACAGTGCCCCATAAGCTTCTTAGAGGAGGCTGGTATTAGGCAGGATTGGATATTCTTCCCCTGACATGCCCTTCATACTCGACCCTAGAGAGCTGGGGATAGGAGAATGGGGTGTTCCCGATGGTCCAGCTTCAGACCCACTCTCCGAGACCCTGGATTCTGATAAGTTTCCAGAACTTAGAAGACACAGATGTCGAGGTCTGAAGGTAAATGGTGCGCTTAGGTAGGAGGGTTCAGCCGGGTGTCAGCTCAGCCCGCCTCCGCATGCACAGGGTAAGGAGAGAGCCCCACCAGACACTTTGTAGGAAGAGCATGTGGGATGGCTGCAAAGTGCTGAGTTCAAAGCAAGGGGCAGGGTGCTAGAGGGAGACAGGGAAGGTCAGGGTAACCTAGGACAAAGGAAGAAGCTTACTTATTCCCACCACTTTGATGGTTCTACTTTTATACTGTAGGCTAGCACACTGGCACTTCCAGTTAGTGTGGTTTACAAAAAGACTGGGAGATTCACTGCAGGCTCATGTCTGGGTCCCTTAGAGCTGTGTGAAGTTAAGTGAATCACTTCTCCTCTAGGTGTCTTTGTGCCTCACAGGGAGTTATAGTGGACAGAACCTATCTGTTACTCAGTCCACTTCAGATACACTACTATTCTTCACAAGCCAGGCATTTCTAGTAATTGTTGTATAATGTAGTTAGGCACAGGCTAGAGATTTAATGGGTGTTTGTAGGGCCTGGGTCTCAAGGCCCTTTATAAAATAAGGTTTCTCTGTGGGTCTTTCCTCCTGCATCCTTGTGTAAAGCTAACCCCAAGAGCTCTTGATTCTGTCTAATGCTTTTCATAGAAATTTGTGTGTTCGGTCTCTCAGAATTCCTGTAACCTAAATATCATTACTATTTACATGGGCAATAGCCTTACAATTAAATTAAATTTAAATGTGCTGAGATGTAATTCAGGTGGTAGAATGCTTGCCTGGCATACATGAAGCTCTGGGTTCTATCCCACAAAATCACACAAAATCGACACGGTGGCACAGGCCTATAATTTTAGCACTTGGAAGATGAAGGCAGGAGGGGAAGTTTAAGTCATCCTTGCCTACATATTGTGTTCAAAGCCAGCATGGGCTGCATGAAACCCTGTCTCAAAAAATTACATTTAAATTGGCTGTAGTGGTACTCGTCTTTAATCCCAGCACTCGGGAGGTAAAGGAAGGTGGATATCTGTGAGTTCAAGGCCAGTCTGGTTTATAGACAGTCCTCAGCAGCCAGAGCTACACAGAGAAATCCTGTCTTGAAAAACAAAACAAAACAAACAAGAATTATGTTTAAAATGTTACAAGGTAAAGCAATCTAGGTGAATGTACAGTGAAAACTAAGTCTCCCTTTGACCAGTGGTCCTCAGTTTCCCTTCCGTTGATGTCCTTCCAGAGCTCAATTTTGCATGACCAACACATATCCATGTCACAGCTGAGGCACTAGGTCAGCTTACCCAGGGAAACACAGCTGGCAGGCAGCAGAGCTGAGAGTCCCGGCCTTTGGCTCCATTCTCGTTTCTCTCCCACCATCGCACACCATGCTGCAAGAAGCGCCCTGACTTTTAAGCTTTGTCCTGTCTGGATGAGACAGCATAAGCATTTTAAAAGAGTCCCAAACACATCCCAGCCCCCTTCCCCAACATACATGAACACACAGAGCCATAATTAACTAATATCCATGGCGATGCCACTCACTGCTTTCTCTTGCTATCTATACTTTAAAGTCATGCCTCCCTAGCTCCTTCTTACCTTGGAGAAGCTGAGATCTGTGGCTTGGGCCCCAGTTATGGATGACTGAGCTCCCAGTAGTGTAGGCTTGGACCTGATGGGTACAGGGGACTCTTTGCAGGAAACCCAAGAGACAGAAGAATCCACAAAGCCCACCTGATCTCAGTCAGAACCCTGGATGGCTGGCATGTTCACAGAGTGGGAGTACTCTCTCCTGAGAGTATTGCACACTGGAATGGAGTGCAGGCGTGGTTAGCTCCTGCAGAACAAGATCTACCACCACACGGCTCTCTCTGTGCTACTTTTTGTTTCTGGGACACTTTTCTATGTGGGAGTTCTAGATCACAAAAGAAGGCAATTGATTTCTTTTCCTCTCTAGGTTTGTGGATACCGCCTGGCTGGGTGTCATGGAGAAATCTTTCCTGATTGCCAACATGAATCCCAGAATAACCTCTGCCTCTTCCTGGGCAGAATGAAAGACCAACTGTAACCAGGCATAACTGGCTATCATGGGGAAACTGATCAGGATTGGGACACAGGAGAGGCGGTTATTCCGACGACCAAAGAGGCTTCATTGGAGTCGCCTCCTTTTCCTCCTGGGAATGTTGATCATCGGTTCCACCTATCAGCACCTGAGGAGACCCCAGAACTCCTCCTCAATGTGGAAAAAAGCCTCTTCCCAGCAGCCTATTAAACTGGCCAGCAGGGACCTCCCCAGTGATGAGATGGCAGTGGTGGGAAGTGACCCTCCAGAGGCTAGCTCGGAAGTGGATGGTGAAATGCTGGCACCCCAAAACACAGTGATCAGGGATGAAGCAACACCTAGCATAACAATGGATGACACCCCCAACCCACCCAGAACAACCAAGATCACTCCAACATCACCAAAGAATACTTATGGTCCTATAGCTGCTGGCACAGAGAGAAAAAAGGAAAACCCTCCACCCACATCTAGCAGGGTATCAAACCACTTCATCTCAATGTCAGGCAGAGAGAAAATAAAAAGCTATTCCCCAATAATCAGGGGAGAAAGGAGGAACTCCACCCCAACTCACTCCAGGGAAAAGGGAAGGAAGTATACCCCATCCCCAGCGGGTGCACCATCTGCTACCACCCCCATATCCACAGAGAAAGACAGCAAAACCATGGCAACCTATAGGCTATTGGAGACCAAACCTCCTGAGAGAACAGTGGAAGAAACCACTGCAGCTTCTCTCAAGAGAGTGGTTCCGAACACCCAGATTTTCTTAACACGTGAAGTAGAAACAGCTCTCTTGACTTCTCCAAGTTTGGTGGAAGAGAACACCTTGGGTAGTGCTAGAAGAGAGGAACAAAACAGCTCTACCAGTCCCCAGGGAGTATTCCCACAGCAAACTCCAGCCACCTCTGAGAAGCAAGTGACAATAAGAGCCAGGATGGGTAATAACCCAGCAACCATCGGAGCTTCGACTGCTGCCTGGAGAATTAACAATCCCTTGTCCAGAACCAGCGCACCAACCATTAGAATTGCTCCAGCCACCAACAGGGAACTGGCAAAGAGACCATCCACAGCACACAGTGCCCCAGTAACTCCCAAAGTCAAGGCAATCCTGACCACACAGGTCCACCGCTGTGTGGTCATGGAGCCAGTCACAGCGGTACCCATGACCCCATCTGCAAGCATAACAAACATTCTGTTCCCAGGGACACCCAGCCCCAGTCCCTCAACTTTACCACCTGGCTGGCCAAAACTCCACGCCAAGGCAGAGTACCCCCCAGATCTGTTCAGTGTAGAGGATCGGCGACAGGGCTGGGTGGCGCTGCACATCTTCGGCATGATGTATGTGTTTGTGGCCTTGGCCATTGTGTGTGATGAATACTTTGTTCCAGCCCTGGGAGTCATCACAGACAAGCTGCAGATCTCTGAGGATGTGGCAGGAGCCACGTTCATGGCTGCTGGAGGCTCAGCTCCTGAGCTGTTCACCTCTCTCATCGGTGTCTTTATTTCCCACAGCAATGTGGGTATTGGTACCATTGTGGGCTCTGCTGTGTTCAACATCCTTTTTGTTATTGGCACCTGTGCCCTTTTCTCCCGGGAGATCCTCAATCTCACCTGGTGGCCCTTGTTCCGGGATGTTTCCTTCTACATCCTTGACTTGTCCATGCTCATTGTCTTCTTCCTGGATAGTCTCATTGCCTGGTGGGAGAGCCTGTTGCTGCTGCTGGCCTATGCCCTCTATGTGTTCACCATGAAATGGAACAAGCAGATTGAGCTTTGGGTAAAAGAGCAGCTCAGCAGGAGGCCAGTAGCCAAGGTCATGGCCCTAGGGGACCTCAGCAAGGTAAGGCAATCTGGCTCCAGCTTTCCTAGGTCTCTTTGGTGTGGAAGGCCAGGGGGAGCTAAGGACAAAGAGTAGGAAGAGCTGCTCTGCTTCCTTGGCTGTTGTTCATTTGTTTACAGCATGCCTAAGCCCTATAATTAGCAAGTGTGTGGCTCTTCTCCAATGGTTATGATTTTGAGCCTTGTTTTCAGAAAAGAAATCAATCTAGAGCTCTTTTGTCTTAAATACGTTGCATGATTCAGTGACTTGAAAGACAACATCCTATCGGGGAGGTCAACTCCGAAAACAAATCCTAAATAGGGACCCCTTTCTTTCCTATTCCTGGGGGGTAAGTTTGGGTACAGAGTGGCTCATAGCCTATCTCTGGTCTTAGAGAGGCTGCTGGTGGGAGCAGAATTTTGCGTGCAAAGAGCATAAGACTTAGCTACTTAATCCTGAGCAGTTTTGATGAGTGGGCAGGATGGCTAACAACTTCAGCAACCGGAGGAGGCAAGAGATTAAATTGCTTCCTTTAGAATTTTTGAAATAATGGTCTTCTGTTGAGAGCATGGAACCAAGAGCTGGATCCCCTGGGTTCTAATCCGATGCCCATTTTCAATTAATGGTGTGACCTGGAAGGGTCTCTTCTCAACTCTTTCCCAGTTTCCAGGGGAAATGACAGGTCAGGTTATCACCAAAAGGTCCTGCCTAATGCCAACATTTATGATGATGACTGAGTCCAAATGAGTTCAGTTCTGGCAAGACTCAGCACAGAGGTTACTCATGTGACCTGCTCAACCATTTACTGTTTACTTGGGGCACAGAAAGGGGGGCAGGGGGGAGTGCTGCTCTGAGTCACATGGCCCTTTGGGGTCAGAACTGGAGAGGTGCAGCCCCCTGACTACCTAATCACCCCCAATTTCCTGCCAGGCTGCTGCTCTAAAGCCATGGGCTTAAAGGGACTGTGATTCCTTGTTGCATAATTTAAGCTGAGAAAGCAGGAATCTCATAGGACAGAAATCACTCTGGAGCCTTGCATCTGAGAGAAAATCCCTGGTGTGTATCAGGGCAGCAGAGTTCTAAACTCCTCCTACTCACCTCCTGGTTCTTTGTAGTAACTCTGTTCTCACTGAAACTCAGCACACCCTGAAACTTCTGCACTAAGCAAGGCCATCCAAGCAAAGCTTGCTAAGCATGTGAGGCAAAACCCATGATTTTAAAAGTATTTGTCTTACTTAAGAGGCTGCCCAAGACCTAGATGCAGTTCTTTATCAACCAGTAAGCAGGGATTGATTCCAACTGTTTGCTTACTTTGTGTCGAAGCTAATTCAGTATTGACAGTATTATTAAAGAAAAGTTGAATTACTAACTATACTTGATGGTAAATCCAACAGTATTTAAATAGAATGCTTACTCTGGACTTTTTAAAAAAATAATGCCCACCATGTAAGAATAAGTAACTCAAGAACTACAGCCATTTAAAAATTGTGTGTGTGTGTGTGTGTGTGTGTGTGTGTGTGTGTGTGTATGTGTGTGTGTGTTCCATTCTGGGATGAATTTTAGCTATAGAGAGAGTGAGCTACCTTCCTTTGTGTCTAAATTTAACTGTTCAAAATCTTTGATCTGATCAGAGGGATGTAAGCTGTAGTATATTTCACTGACAGTGTTTGAGGACAAGCCACTGCATTGAATCCATGAAGCAATTCTGCAGTTCTTTGGTTTTGTTTTTGAGACAGGATTTCTCTGTATTGCTTAGGAACCTGTCCTGGAACTCACTCTATAGACCAGGCTGGCTGTCCTCAAACTCAAGAGCCCTGCCTCTGCCTCCCAACTGGTATTAAAGTCGTGTACTACCAACAATGCCCATCCATACTGGTTTTCAATGTTTGTGGTTCAATGTTAAGCCTGCTCCCGCCCTGCAAAGTGTTTTCCCTTACCTATGATTTTTCTTTTTTTTTTTTAAAACAACTTCTTCCCTACTTTCTACTCCTTATCACTGGACTGTGGCTCTCCTGGATCAATGGGTCCCTTAGTTAAACTTCTATGGAGAAGTCAGGGGCCAGAGAAACTGGGCTTCCTCAATCAGCCATGGCTCTGAAATAGAGGAACTCAGAGAGAATTGAGCAAAGCAGGCTGGGAGCCATGGAGCAGAGCTGGTGAGGTGAAGTCCTCCAGGCCAGAGCATCTTGGGAAGTAGGAGCCAGGCAAGGAGAGAAATACAGTGGGAAACAAAAGTGTCCTTTTCCTTCCTCTGAGTGACAGCGATATCAGCTTCATCAGTGCCACTGAGTGGGAAAGTGATTGTTTCCCTAAGTCTGAGCCCTGAGTCTTAGTCTGGAAGTGTTTGGCTAAGTCTCTTCAGGAATGCCAACAGTTCAGGGACTTCAGTTTACTGACAGGTAGGAGCCAAGAAAGGAATTCAAGCATTTCAACAATTTCTCCCTCTCTCTTTTGATTTTTTGAAACAGGGTTTCTCTGTGTAGCCCTAGTTGTCCTGGAGCTTGCTCTCTAGACCAAGCTGGCCTCAACTTCAGAGAGATCCACCACTTCTGCCTCCCGAGTGCTGGGAGTAGATGCATACACCTCCACTGCCTGGCAACAATTTCTTATTAAATGCTAAAAAACTAGACTGTAATCTGTATCTTACATATGAGGAGACAGGGGTACAGAGTGGGCACTTAACCTGCCCAAAGTCACACAGCTAGTCAGTGATACTTAGTGATGACAGTAAACCAGTATATTTGAGTTTTAACTTAGGTGCCTTGTTAACTATCTCCTGCTCCATGAGCAAGTTAAGGCAACTCTATAAACCATTTTATTAAGTACCTGGATGAAAAGCAGTGTGAGGAATAAAGTTAACTTCAAGGAATAGAAACCTGTGCTGGAGCCTTAAATCATGTTGCTGTTCATGTAACCCTTTTATTGCTGTGAATGGGGTGAAGACAGCTCAGGCAATGGCAGACTCTTTCTGCTAAGGGCAGGCACTAAAAACTTCTTGCTTTGCAAGCCATACCCCCTCACAGTTCAATGCCCTCCCTATAGCTAGAAAGTTAAAAAGCTACACAGTACAAGTAAATAGCTACACAGTGAATAGTAGGAGTGGCTACATGGTTTTCCTCTCCCAACAGAAGGCCTTGAGCATTCCTCCAACAGGTGCAGCCAGGTTTCTGAGCTGGGCAATATTTTAATTTTATGAATGTCACATTCTGTCTGGAATATCTCAAATCAGAATGAAGGGCTTTCTTGGGGGTCATGATTCTAACAAAAATACATTTAAGACCATTTCCAGAAAAAAAATATGTGGTATTGGCCACACACACACATACACCTTTAGTTTTTATATATTTACATCTATTTATTGTGTCTGTGACAAGCTTCCACATGCCACAGCATATGTGTGGAGGTCAGAGGAGTTGGCTCTCTATCATGAGCATCCTAGGAAATAAACCTCAGGTCATCAGGCTTCCAAGCCATCTCAGCAGCCCTTGTATAGTATTTTAGAGTGTCTCTTTTGGCACTATCTGAAAAATTTCAAAGCTAAAACCACCTAAGACAACATCATCAGATTCACATTGGCTGGTATAAGGTGCCTTTTGTGATCCCAGTAAGGCAAAGGTAAATGCTTGCATGGCTATCAACAGTCTCACTTAGCTCTCTTTGAAGCTTTATGCTGAGTGTTGAAGCTCTCCATATATCATTTCTGGCCCCAGATGACAAATCTCTGTATAGTCACAGAGAGCCAGCATTCATCAGAAAGCTCACTGGCATCCAAGGATGATGCCTTCATCATGTGGAGTGAGTGAGGAGCTCAGCCAGAAGGACCATCCATGGACTGAAGAGCAGCCTACGGAGCGCCAATGGCAAACAAGGGCATAAGGATGAGTCCTTATGGAAAACCCGTCTCTACACTCTACACCAAAGAATTCCTCAGGATGTGAGGTTCTAGGGAAAAGTCCTGAATACAACTGTGGCCTATTTTCTCCCCAGCAGGAATTTTCCTACTCAACCGGCAAGACTACACATAGACAAGACAGGCACACCTGTTGAAGCTGGACTTCCTATTTCTTGCCAGAGTCGATATCTAGCTTGCAGGGTCATATCAGTGGCTTGTATGGCCAGCTGCTTGCTGTAGAGATGGGAGGCTATGGACAAGAAACAGCCATCTTCCTACTTCTATGGGTCCCACCCATATTAGGCTTCACAGAAGCCACTATGCTACAAAAGAGCTCATGTTGGCCAGGCTGAGGAATGGCCTTCAACTGTTTAACTGGTCATTGGCTTCCTTCTAATCGTCAGGAAAAGATGGAAGGAGTCTCTCTCTCTCTCTCTCTCTCTCTCTCTCTCTCTCTCTCTCTCTCTCTCTCTCTCTCTCCCATTGCTATAGTTCACCCTGGCCTCAAACACTAATCCCAGTAGAATCCTGTCTTTGTATCATTAGTTCCCTGGCATGGGGCTGCAGCTTTGTGGCAGAGTTGCTTGCCTAGCATGTGCCTTTCCCTAATAACTGGATAAAGCTTTTCAAGTCCCCCTACCCGATAGTAGCAGCAGGTGACAAAACAAATGCATGAGAAACAAATATTAATAACACAGTAAAAACATCTGCATGAGGCAAGTCCCACTGCTTCCTGTTTCCACAAATACGTGTGTGCCTGTAGCTGAAGTGTTATAGGCACTCATACAGCACAGCAACATTTTCTCCTATGGAGCGTGATGGGATTAAGTACCAAATTAATATCCATGGTGTTCTACAAAGAATAGCATGCATTCTACATGCTCTGCCACCTGAACTAATTGGAAAATAAACCCCACAAGTAACTGTTTAGTGAGGGAATGGACAATGAATGAGAGTCAAGAAGAGAATTGCAGAGTGAGGAGCACTGTGAAGGAGATGCACAGTGGCAGGGTGGTGGGGGCCTTTGCTGGGGGGGGCAGGGGAGGTTTTTGGGGAGAGAAGTCTGAAGAGTGAGCTACAGTATAGAACTGGGCAAGCATCCCTGGAGGAAGGAAGAGCATTTGCAAAGGCCTCGGGCTGAAAGGACCTGACACAGCATTGTGGTTAGTGGGAAAGGCAGGGAGAGGGTACAGGGCATCACTGGGGAGGCCTGGGAATTGGATACTGAGTTTGCGTTTCATTTGAGGTACAATAAAGGATTAGCAAAGTCCTGTTTTAGAAGTCACTCTAAAGTCACTGTGTAGAAAACAAATTATAGGTGCACAGTAATGGAAGTAGGAGTAGCAGCGTGCCTGGTTGGGAGCTATTTGGAGCACCCAGTTGTCTAGCTGTGTGCGTGTGTTTACACATGCATGCATGTGGTCTCCACTGGACAAATCTAAAATTTGTAACACTTTACAACTCTTTTCCTTGGCATAGCTGAATTTTCAGCATCATTATGTTTGCACTTTTTGAATCATTACCAAATAAGGGTTATTTGAATACAAACACTGTAAAATGAGGACAATCTGATAACTAGGATAATTACTAAATGACTGATGACATGGATACACTGAACACAGAGATGATTCATGTCCCAGGCAGGATGGTCAGGGACAGCCTGAAAATACATCAATGCAATTTAGAGGTTAAAATTTGTTTGTTACTGTAACTTTCCACCAACTAGCTTAGGACCACCATTGATGCAGGATACTGAAACCAAATAGAGTCACATTACATATGCACAGATGTCCTGGAGAAGTTATCTCTGCACTAGGTGATGAGGGAGGGCAGGAGAAGTCAGGGATGGAGTTGAGCTTTTGGCATGAGTGGAGAATGAATGGTGGTGCTAGTCACAGAGACAGAGAAGTCTGGAGGGAAAATGGGCTCAGGAAACTCAGGAGCGCTGCTCTGGTGTGGTGGTCTGGGCGCTTCCATTACTGCCCAGGAGGCAGTTGGATACATGAGTCTGAAGATGGAGCATTGGTGAGGAGTGAATTTGTGAGTCACTAACCAATGTTTTGGAGGATCAAAGCTCTGTGAAGGAGAGAAAAAGTAGGCCCTGAAAGATACACACCACACACTTAGTCTTCAACACTAGTTCATAAATTAACCCATTTAATCTATGTTCTGTCAGGTGGCTCATTACCTCATCTTTCATTACTGCCATGAGTCTGGCTGGTGACTCCACCCAGAATCCTCTCTGTCTCTGGAAGTCCTGTCTACCCTCTTCCTTACCAAGCTATTGGTCATTCAACTCTTTATTAAACCAATCATATGTTCACACAGTATAAAGGAATATTTCATAGCAGCGTGTTGAAATAGTACTTTTAGAGGACGGCAGCCATAGCTCAGTGGTAGAGCACTTGTCTGACATATTTGATCTCTAACACAGTAACATTGACAAACTTTGGATGTGAGGAAGCATTGGAAAAAGTCACAGGTTAGGTGTGGTCACACATGCCTTTTATCCTAGCATTTAGGAGGCGGAGGCAAGCAAATCTCTGTGAGTTCCAGGCCAGTCAGGGATGCATAATGAGACTTTGTCTCAAAAAAACAAAACAAAACAAAACAAGGTTGAGTGGTGATTAGGCACACATTTAATTCCAGTACTGGCATACCTCACAGGTGGATCTCTGTGAGTTTGAAGCCAGCCTGGTCTACAGAGTGAGTTCCAAGACAGCCAAGGCTACACAGAGAAACCCTGTCTTAACAAACAAACAAAACAATCCCTTCCCCCCAAAAGTTGTTTGTTGTGCTGCACTATGGGCGGTCAGGAGGCGGGTACAGAGGAAACTCAGCTCTCCGAGGGGACAGTGTGGCTTCTAGAATACAATGTGGGACACAATGTGATTTGCTTGGAAACTCATTGTGCTGAGGGGGTGAAGAATACACCTGAAGAGGAACAAATCTAGACTCAAGGATTTTGTGGGCAGGAAAGTGGAGTCCAAACTGAGCTGCCTGAGGCCATTTGTAACTCCAGTTTCAGGGGATCCAATTCTGGTTCCAAGGATTCCCCTTTTGGCCTCTTGAGCACCAGGTATGCATTAAGTACAGATACATATATGTAGGCAAAACACTCATTCATATTAAACAACTTTTTTTTTTAAAAAAGGTTGACATGAAAGTCTGTTGATCTGAGTTTGATTCCTGGAACCCACAAAAAGTGGAAAGAGAATCAACTCTACAAAGTTGTCTTCTGACTTTCACACATGTGCATGTGTACGTCCGCACAGACACACACACACGCACACGCACTCTGTTGCATGTGACTCTCCCATTACAAGCTTGTATTTGAGCCCCCACACAAAACAATAATAAACAAAGCACGATAATTTAAAGGAAGGAAATGGCTGAGAGTTGTGTATGTGTGTAACCTCAGCATTCAAGGCGGTCCAGGGCTGGATAGCAAGACCATGCATCTCTCTGTGAAGGCTTCAAAGCTAGAAGTGAATGCTGGGACTGCCCATGAACACATAGAGAAGTATTTTAGCTTGGATAAGGCTGAGCAGCACAGTCATTAGAGGCATAGGGCATAGTCATTAAAGTATCATAGGGCAAAGGTCAGTCCCTTGGCTCTCTGGGGGCAGTCCCCAAAGTAGCATGTCCCTCCACTCTAGAGGACTCAATGGGAGAAGGCTGGATATGATGAATGGCGAGAGGGGTGGGACAATGGCAGCTAGTGCTGTGTGAAGCCTCTTTTTTCTCAATAAACTTACAGGTGTGACATGAAAAGGTTAGGGGACCTTATTAAAATACACATCTTCCTCCTTCACACCCAGTTTGGTTATTTCAGCTCTGTTTTATTCACTTACATGCCGGTTCTTTAACAGTGAGTATCGGACACTCAAGCCTTCCCCACCCTTCAAAGTCCTCACATTCTACCCACTGCAGGAAGCCTTCCTGGCCCACCTCACACAGCAGCATATCTATGGCTCTTTTATTGTGACCCATGCTCTGTTTTGCCTTGTATCTGTGTGATATGTCTCCATTCCTTTCTGAACACAGACTCCGTGCCCTAAATATCTTTTCTCCCTGTAACCACCAACAGAGTCCCTCATAATAGCATGTGCTCAGTATAAGAGTGGGTGGCCTGTGTTAAGGTGGTATTTGCTATATTTTCAGAGCCCAACTGAGAACGAAGCTGTTCTGTTTCTGGGTGGGCCTTGCTGGCCAATGAGGGAAGCAGAGGGATGTAAAGATAGTCACTGGGGCAACTGTTAATAACCTTGGTGCCTAAAGATAGCACCAGAGGCCACCTGGGATTATGTATATACCCTCCTTACCATTGTTGAGAGCCACAGGTCAGAGCACCAGAAATAGCTACATCATAAGTTCACTGCATGGTAAAAACAAACAAACATAGAATCTAGTGGATGGTGGTTTACTTCCATCAAGCACTCTATAAAGGAGGCTGAGGTAGGAGGATCACCACTAATTCAAGACCAGTCTGGACTGTATAGTGAGTTCTAGGCTAGTCTGGGTTGTTAGATAATGCACCTATATCTATTAGTAGATAAATGATTGGATTTGAGTTGAATAGACAATTCATGTATCATTCAAATGGCATTCCAAGACTATGATTCTAATGGGCTCTATGTTACATCATCTTGGGTGTGTAGGGTGGTCTCAACCCTCGGCAGGATGTCCCACTGCTTCCCTAAGGCATACACACTTATCTGACTCCAAAGCAAGATTTTGAAATCACAAGATGTGCCATTTCTGTCCAACTTTCAAGGGGAGGGCTGTTTTAGCAGCAGTAGTAGGGGAGGGGTGCAGCTAAAGGGGTCATGGAGAAAGCTTTGTACCAGAAACCACCCTCAATTTTCTGAGGAGGAACAAAAGATTCAGGTTAGCAGAGAGGCATAGGGAAGACATCTGTGGTATAGGGAAAGGGCATAAACATAGAGGGGTAGAAGTAGATGAAGTGAATCTATCCTTTTAATTAATATATTGCATCTTAACCATATCTGTTCACACATAAAGAAATTAGGGGAAATGGTAGGACAAAAAAGAATAGGTAGAGAGGACAGTGACATTTAAATGGAGTGAGGAGCGAGGAGCCAAAGCAGGACCAACAGGAGCCTGGGATGCCTTTTCAGGCATGTGACACATTGGAGCCAAAGGGTAGCAGGCATGTTGAAACATTTGGTGAAGATAGATTAGCTCCAGGGGTGTTTCTGGTTTGCACCAGCAGCTTCCCCAGAGAGAGGGGCAGGTAGGGCCAAAGAAGGAGGGTCTCTCCTTGACATGTGTGATTCATCTCTTGATCTTTGCTCCCCTCTGCAGCCCAGTGGTGGTGCCATTGAGGAAAATGAGCCAGAGGATAACAAGAAGCTCAAGGTGGGTGTATGAAGCTTACCCTGTGGAGACATTTCAGGGTCCCAGTTTGAGCAGGGATATTGTGGAATCTTGACACAAGTGGGGATATCTCAGGGTCTCAGCATATGTCTGCACACTAGGATGCTGTGGTCCTGATGCTGTGGAACCCAGTTGATCCAGGGAGGCCTGGGAGGTTCCTGGGAGCTACCAAGGTCAGCCAGGCTGTGTGGTGAGGGCCTCTTATTCCACACAGTGCTGGCTTGGGAACTATCTCTTTAACATCACGGTTCACTCTGTCCTGAGCCTCCTGCATAACCTTGGGTTCTATGTTTACAAGATGCAGTTTAGACTAGACTCAAGTCACACTTTTCCAGTTCCAACGTTGATTGATAAAAGTTCACTTACTGGTGGCTTTAGCATACCCAGAACTAAGGAACTAGGGGAAAGTTCTTGAGCTGGCAGGACCTATGGTTTTTGAAAGACTAGCTTAAGGCACTGTGTGGAAGGAGTTATGGGAACTTTGATAGAAGGCAGAGCAGGTGGTGGTGGCGGTTGGGGCTTGGGGGCGCTGAAAATTCCTCTCTCCAAAGAAAACCTCCAAGTCCATTGTAGTGGCTACAGCCACTAGGTGGAGTAAGAGTTCAGCTGGAACGGGATCCAGAGGGCGAAGAGGGTGTCTAGGGGTAATCTTTCGGTATTTCTTTGTGTCGCTTTGAACAAGTACGTGTCACATCTGCATGCAATACAGGTCTGTGTACTTCAGTACCTCCAAAGATCTCTGAGCACCAGAGTGTAAAGGCAAAGTGGGCTCACAATCAGTAACACTGGGCTGCTAGTTTGACTTGCTCCCTGCTTGACCTTGGACATACCACCCACCCACCCCCTTTTTGTGCTTCCTTTCCTGTCGATGGGGTTCCCAGTGTTGCTTATCCCTGGGCATGGGGCAATTACAGAACACGGTCAGACATGATGTGCAGACTGTAAAGGGCTGTACCTGGTGTAGCAGCCTGCCTTATGTGGATAAGGGTGTGTTTCTAGAAAAGGTTGCTTGTGGTGGGTAAGGTGCAAACCTTCCCATAATATGGTACCACTGATCCATATGACCTGTTCCCTGTGGAGGCTGTGGGACTCATGCACGATGTAGAAGGAGCTGGTCCTGGAGGAACCAAAGGAAGAACGAGAGAGTTGGAGGCGAAGGAAGCAGCTGCTCAGTGCGCGGGGTGGGGTGGGGGACCCCTCTCTCTAGTCTCTGAGGGAAGGAGGCAGGTTGGCAAGGAGACCCTCCTGCAGCTCCTCCCCTGACCTGGGCAGGTCCCCACTGAGGCCTGTGCGGCTCTCCCCTTGCTCAGCTTCCGTCTGTGCTGACCCGAGGGAGCAGCTCGGCCTCACTACACAACAGCATCATCCGCAGCACCATCTACCACCTCATGCTCCACAGCCTGGACCCCCTGGGGGAAGGTAAGCAAGGCCTCCTCAGACCTGTTGATCTGCCCCTCATGTGCCTCCCTTCCAGCTACTGGAAAGAATCTTGGACTTGCAAATGGTAGTGACAGTGGGCTGGGCTGGGAGGGCAGAGTTATTAGAAGATAGTGTGTGAAAGCCAGATAGTCTGGACAACATAAGACCTGGGCTCACCAAAAGAGGGCCACATGAGACATGATTACTAGGGTCCTCAATATGCACTGTTTCCCTGCCCTGTGTCCCTGTCTGTAAAGTGAAGGGCCTTATCCACAGCCAGGACACAAATGCTATGTGGCCTATTTGGATCTGTGTTGGGTCCGATCCAATGTCTCACAGGTTGACTGGCCAGGGATGCTTCAGGGGACACCACCTCCACAGCCTTGAGGCATTTCTCTTTGCTTTGGATTCAGCTCTGGAGTCCTAGGAAGCTTGCCCCTCCTTCTAGCCAGGAGTCTTAAAGGACACTCTAGAAGATGTCACAGCCACTTTTGGGGAGCAGAATGCAGTGTTTGAGATGCTGAAGTTGAACTTGACAAATAATGACAGCAGTGGAGAGCCCCATTGTCCACCTTACCAAGTCCTGTCATCTGTCTTCCTCTCACTTCCCCAGAGCACTATCCCATATATCTCTTACACCCTACTGACTGCCTCTCAGGAGCTCTCCTGCTCCCTGTAGACCCTGTCCCCCCCTTTCTGGGTCTCTGGCGCAGAACTAAGCCTAAGCAGGAGGCCCACCAGGAAAAAGCTAGTTTTGGGCAAAGCCATGGCAGGCAGTGAGGCAAGAAAGCCTGAATATGGCACAAAATAATGAGCCTCAGGGAGACCCCTGACTGAGTTTCTGGTTAGGATCTCAGACTTTCATAGGGCCCTGATCTACCCCGTCAGACACAATATGGGGTGCTATGTGTTTAAAAGTATGCTATACTGGGAAAAGCAGTGTCAAGAACAAGGTGGGGCTGGAGAGGTGGCTCAGCTATTAAGAGCACTGGTTGCTCTTCCAGAGAACCTGGGTTCAATTTCTAGCACCCACATGGCAGCTCATAACTGTCTGTAACTCCAGTTCCAGAGGATCTGACACCCACACACAGGCATCCATGCAGGCAAAATATCAACACACACATAACGTTAAAAATAAAAAAAGAAAGAAAGAAAAAGAAATTCTTCAAGATGGGGCTTGGCAACAAAGCACCTCTGAGGAATGAGCAGACTGGTGCAGCCTCAGGTCTAAAGTCTGGGATGGACCTGGCCTGGCTTCCAAAAGAACTCTAAGTCATGCCCAGCCACTCCAAGCAGAACCACAGACTCTAGCCGAGCCCCGGAAACAAAGAACTTCTCCTGAATGGACTGTGGGGCTCCCAGACCCGGCCACCTTTGTAAGCATCAGCTGCCAGCTGGCCTACTTGTCCTAACAGGATTATGTGGTGTTCGGGCCAGGCTGAGGTCACAGGAGATTGGCACTAAGGAGATGATCCAGCCATGCTGGGTGGGGAGAGGGCACTCAAGGGAACAATGACAGGGGAGACCTGATATATGGACTGTGGGTGTGGTAAGCCAGGAACCCCCCTTGTTTCCACCCTTTCCACGTGGAGCTTTCTAGATCCAGCTTTCTCCACAGATGTTCCCTGTCCTCTGAATGCTCACTTCCCCAGAGTGGTGTTTTCCTACCCCTGGGTCTCATACTTCTCTTGTGCTCCCAGTTAGAGGTGTGTGTGTGTGTGTGTGTGTGTGTGTATGTGTGTGTATGTATGTGTGTGTGTGTATGTGTGTGTGTGTGTGAGAGAGAGACAGAGAGAGAGACACACACACACACACACACAGAGAGAGAGAGAGAGAGAGAGAGAGAGAGAGAGAGAGAGAGAGAGAGAGAGAGAGCGCAGCAGCAGCAGCAATAACCTGGGAAATGAGAGAGTGGGGCAAATGATGAGGGTTGTGAGTTCCGGCCAGCAGTCAGCTGATGTACCAGGGCCAGGATGGGAATCCCAGAATGCCCTTCTTTGATGGTGGTGATTGTCTGTTCATCAGGATATTATAGCTCATGATTAGTGCCTAAAGGGCCCTGGGCATTTGGATCGAGGAGGCAGAGTTGTTCTGAAGTCTTGGAAACTCCAGAAAGATCAGCTGGGTGCCAGGATAACTGAGGGACCAAAGGGGTCATAGCAGTGACTCTGCAAATGGCATTTACTACCAAAGCAGCAGCAGCAGAATGACTCTGAGGGCTTAGGACACAGGTAGCAAGGAGGAAATGCCAGGACGGTTTTTCTATTTCTGCCTATCCTGGATCCAGGCAGAGTTTTTATTCCATCTATCTAACTTCCCAGACTGTACTTTCCGTGCAGTCTGACTGCGCTCCCTCCCCATTAGATGATCTCCAGGGTGTCCCAACTCAAACCCTCTGCAATGCTGGGCATTTTCACCACAGAACTGTTTCCAGGGTGGAAAGCTGCTGGCCACTACTGCTATCAGATCACCATCATCATTACAGCTAAAAGGTAACACAGTGACATCTAGGGGCTGTTTTAAATCCAGTCCTGCATAACTTCATCAACCATCTACAACTACTCTGGAAGGCTTTACAGACGAAGTGTCTGAGGGACGGAGAGGCTGAGGGGTCAGCCAGCTGGGCCATTGCTATGGTGCAGCTGGTGTATGCCTGAAGCGTGGGGGAAGCACTGCAGCAGCCAGGCGCGTTGTCTCCCGGATCATGTCAGTGCTCCGAGTGTGTCATGGTGTTGTCATTGGCAGACGACACACAGGCTTCCCAAGCAACCTGGAGAGAGCTAGCCTGCATTTAGAACAGAAACCATGTGACCTTTACTTCACATGCCCATTTGCACCATTGTCCTGCCTGCCCTACCCATCCTTCATGGCACACAGCTGACAGGGGGCCACTTAAGCTCCTGCTTCTCAGCCCATCCCTTTTTCTTCTCTATGTCAAAGTTATTAATGTGAAGTCCTTTGAGTGTCTCCTGGCACAGTTAATATGGGGGGGTGGCCCCCTATTATTTTTCTCTCCTGGAAATCAGGGTAGTTATTCTGTTGCCTGCCACTATAGTAGCAGTCTCCAGTAAAATCTGACCCAATAAAATGTGACACCCACTTGGAATCTTAGTGTCTGGGATCAGAAAGGTAAGGCTGAAGCTTGATCCCTTCCCCCTTCTGTCGGCAAAGGGAAGGCTCATGGGCAACAGGGTCTCTAGAGCAGCCCACATACAATGTGTTGTCCTGGCTTCTAGGAGACCTGTGACAAGTGAGCTGCAAGGGACCTTACGGATCATCGAGTCCAAGAGTGGCAAAAACAGCCTCTCTGCCATCATTTCTCCACTCTCGGCCCATCATGGATATCACTGACCTTGGCAGGGACTCTCCTACTAAGTTGGGGTTAGATACTCCAAATAAGCCATCACTTCAGGTCATGAAGGAAATGCATCTTGCAGGCTGGTTCCCAATCCAGCCATATGTTTATCAGAGAGGAAATAGGAGGAGCAATTTGTCCTAGGTCATAGCCAGTTAGTGATGGTGGGGTACCAGGGGTAGGCCTTGAGAGCTCAGACCCAGACACCAAAGGCCTAGACCAGCCTTCCCTGCCCTGTCACCACCGGGCAGTGCAGGATCCTGACTGGACACTGAGGTCCTAGATAAGGTGTCTTCTTTCTCCTTCACAGCCTGCCCCTCCAAGGACAATCAGGAGAGTTTGAATCAGGAGGCCAGAGCCCATCCCCAGACCAAAGCAGAGAGCAGTCCTGACGGTGAGAGGATGGCCAGACTGGCCACTGGCCAGTTTTCTTCTGCCACACCTCCTGTCACAGCCAGTGTAGAGCTGACACGGAGGCACATGCCAGTCAGTTTCACTCAGGTTCTTCCTTCAGTGATGTTTTTCTGCCAGCAAGGGAAGAACAGGGGGCACTCATGTCTCACATCTTATTCCCTCTTCCCGTGACTTCTACACAAGGACATTGTTGCTGTGAGTACTATGAAATGAGAAACCCTACTGCAGGAAGGTGTCTTGGAGCCCAGTGACAGAAGCCTAGCATCTGTTGGCAGCCATGACCAAGAAAGTAGGACAGCAATTGCTGCATGGGCTCTGCATACCAGGTTTACCCACCTTACTCAGAAACTCATAGAGGGAGCCAAGCAGCCACCATTCTTTCTATTCCACAGCCCAGGAAACCAAGATTCAGAGAGATCAAGTGAACTGCCCAAAGTCACACAGCCAAGACATGGTTAGCTTGTAGCTAACCTGAACATAACAGATTTTTCCAAGCTCCCTTCTATGCAGTTCCTATCCATGGCCTCAGAGCCTTTGAACTCAGTGGGATTCTTTCAAAGGATCAGCCCACCCTGCTCCCTGGCCACAGTCCAGGAAATGACCATTAACACAGGGGGGATGCTTCTCAGATGCCCTTAATATTCAGGGGACAGAGTAAGCAGTTCCTAAACAAGCTTCCTTAGCCCCTCAAGTCAAATGCCCTGTAGTTTCTCCCACCTGTCTCTGCAGCTGCTCTCAACCTGCTCCACTCTCACCTAACCCGTGTTTGTCCTTTAAGAGGAGGAGCCAGCCCAGCTCCCTGCGGTCACAGTCACTCCAGCCCCTGCTCCAGACGTCAAGGGAGATCAGGAGGAGGATCCAGGCTGCCAGGTAGGTGCCCAGCCTCTGAACAGCTGGAGGATTTCAGAGGTCAACGAAGGGCTTTCTGGCCAAAATACTTCCTACTTGAAGGCCTGAAATTCCAATTAACGAACCATGCCCCTTTTCTGAAATCATTTGAAAAATGCTCACACTTTCCAACCAAGAAAGTTCAACACTCCAGCATGACGTGTGTGTGTGTGTGTGTGTGTGTGTGTGTGTGTGTGTGTATGTGTGTGTATATATATATATATATATATATATATATATATATATATATGCTGTAAGAATATAAGGAATTGTTAGTGTGTCAGCAAAGCAGACAGAGACTGAGACCAGGCTGTCCCAGACCACCAGTGGCTTGAAGTGCAGTAAGAGAGCTGCTGGGTAAGAGACTTTGGCATGACCCAAAGCTCTTCACTGCTGCTGTGCCTGTCTCATTTGTAGTCTGCATTGCCCTGACAGCCTCTTCTTCCCTTATTCTCAGACCAAGTGGAATTTGTCCCCACACTTTCTTACCATGAGTCTTGCTTATAGAGCTCGCTCTCTCTCTCTCTCTCTCTCTCCCTCCCTCCCTCCCTCCCTCCCTCCCTCCCTCCCTCCCTCCCTCCCTCCCTCTCTCTCTCTCTCTCTCTCTCTCTCTCTCTCTCTCTCCCCAGAGTCCTTCTCCCTCCACCATCCCCAGATAGCCTTGTCTGGCCTAGTATGGTTAAAAAGCTCCCTTGACAGTGAGGCGTCCATGATGTACCAGAATCCAAATGCCCATGGGATTCTGTGCCTGACATGGGGCTTCCATAACTGCCTCCTTGTTTTCTGAGCTTCCTCTACTTCCCTGACCCGATGGTGAGGTTCCTGAGGGCAGGACCCAAGTCTGAACCATTTTTGCCTCCACCCCAGAGGGAAACATCCTGCCTGGCATATGTTGTGGCCAATATAGGTTGAGTGACTGGCAGTAAACAGTTATTTAGGTCCATGTACCAGCCCTGCTTTTCACACTTAACATCCAGAAGCACACTTTTCTCTCATCCACAGTCTAGCAATTTTAGAACTCAGTCTCTACGTGTGTGAGCACCAAGCAGGCCCACTATAGTCAGGTCATGTGAAAAGGAACAAGAGAATGTAGAAGCATCTGAGCCTCGGCCCAGAAAATGAAGCTGAGTCTCAGAAGGAGCTGAGTCGAGGTCCAAGAAAACCTCCATTTGCCACCTTTCCTCCCTGTTTTCACCATGTGCAGACTCTATGACTGGCTTCAACCCTAAACTACCAGCCCAGCCCTCCAGTCCACAGGGACCAACCAGTCACCAGCTTCTACTCTTAGAATGTGTTCAACTTAAGTCGCAGGTCAGGGATCTGGTGCACAGCCAGGCAACTGTGGCCCTGGGAAAGAATGGGATACCTTCACTACAACACAGAAGGGAGCTGCTGTTCACCTGGACTATCAGGCCTGCCCTCCCTCCCTCCTTCCCTCCCTCCCTCCCTTCCTCCCTCCCTCCCTTCCTCCCTCCCTCCCTCCCTTCCTCCCTCCCTCCCTCCCTCCCTCCCATCTTTTTTCTTCTGTGTAGTCCCGGCTGTCTTGGAACTTTCTCTGTAGACCAAGCTAGCCATGAACTCAAAGACCCACTTGCCTCTGCCTCCCAAATGGGATTAAAGACATGTGCCACCACTGCCTGGTTGAGGCATGCATTTCTAATAAGATCCCCCAAGATAACAATTTTGGGAGCCAGAGAAGGAGGTATAGCTGGGTGGTCTCATCCTGATGACTTGAATGAACTGCTCCCTCCAGAAAGCCTGCTCCTGATGGGGTCAGAGGAGGGTGGCAGACAGATTTTAGATAGATCTTTTCACTCTTCATTCCTAATTCAGAGCCCAGGCATCCCCACTTTGCTTCTTCATCTGATCCTCAACTCTGATTGCATATTAGGATAAAATGGAAAACATTAAAAAGTTGTTCCCTGTCTACCCATTGAGTCAGCATCCCCAGGGCAGGTCCTCCAGCATCCTGGCTTAAGAAGTTTCCAGACAAGCCAGGCATGGTGGAGCATGCATTTAATCCCAGCACTCAAGAGGCAGAGGCAAGCAGTTCTCTGTGAGTTAAAGACCATCCTGGTCTTCATAGTGAGTTCCATGCCAGCCAGGACTGCACAGGGAGACCCTGTCTCAAAAAGCTGGGGAAAAACGTTTCCAGGAGATTTCTATATGCAATAGAGTTGAGAATCACTGAAAGTCCTTTGGAGGGTTATTACGACCTTTGCTGTAAGTGCCATGTTTACTTCTTAAGTGCAGGGGTCCTTGCTCAAGGGAATAGATTACTATGTTACTGATTAGTTTCAGATCTAATTGGGGACCATCAGAATTAGTGGTTTTTAGTTTTTAGTCAAAGCTCTACAGATAAATACACCAGAATAATAAGCATGGGAACTATGGGTATGAACTTTCATCTCAGATGTTCGAAGGCAATTGATACATATATAGAGTTAGAAAATCTGCATTTCCAAAAAGTCCCAAGATAACAAATTTGAGAGCTAGGGGCCCTTCAGCCATGGGATGTTAGTGGTAAAGAGGCTGAGGATTAAACTATAGCTATTCAAATTCCAATACCATTATACACAAACTGTGGACCATGGGCAAATCTACCCATCTCCACTCTCCACTCTTGTTTCGTCACTAGTAGTCAGATACATACATACATACATACATACATACATACATACATACATGGGTCCATGAAATATAGCAACTGCTATTATTATGAAGTCATTTACTAATATGCCTTACATGTGAAAATGTGTAATAAATAGGTATAATTATCTTACACATTCAATGTAAGAGTTGGGGAGTTTAGTAGACTTAGCAAGGTGTTGTGTCTGACAAAGCATATCAGGCCATGTTAGACAATGTGGAAGGAAGCCTAGTATATTAGAAAAGTGGCGGGGGGTTGTCTTGTTCCAGCATGTATAGGTTCTGTGTCCAGTTTTGGATGCTCCACTCATGGTTTGGCTAATTAGAACAAATTCATCTAACTGTGGCAGTCTCTATGTCATAGCATGCTGGGTGCTGGAGAACCCAGAAACCTTCAACTCATGAAGGGGCTGGCCTGTGGAAGAGTACTTAGGCTTGTTTCACATGTCTCCAAAGAATAAAGTGTATTTGGTGGTGGAGCTTTGATACAAATATTGACTTCAAACCAGCCAATGCTGTGAAAGGTGGCAGATGCTGCTGAAGGTGGTGAGTGCTCCAACCTTGAAAACCGAGCAAATAAAAGCTGGATGACCTGGGTAGGAATGTTGTGATTGCAAGTTTGCTGCATCTTTGCACCAGTTTTCTCCTCTGAATATTTAACTGTTCAGATGCTCTGAAAACACCAAAACAAAACTAGGGAGCAAATGGGATACAAATCAGGCAGGGCTGTTACCATACATTAATCTGTTGTCTTTGGATTGCAGGAAGAAGTGGGTGAGGTTGACAGAACAGGAGCTACGACAGGTGAAGAGGGTGAAACTCAACCAGGCGAAAAGGAAACTGAGGCAGAAGGAAAAGAAGATGATCAAGAAGGGGAAACTGAGGCAGAAGGAAAAGAAGATGATCAAGAAGGGGAAACTGAGGCAGAAGGAAAAGTTGTCGAACATGAGGGGGAAACCGAGGCAGAAGGAAAAGAAGATGAACTTGAAGGGGAAACTGAGGCAGAAGGAAAAGAAGATGAAGCAGAAACTGAGGCAGAAGGAAAAGAAGATGAACTTGAAGGGGAAACTGAGGCAGAAGGAAAAGAAGATGAAGCAGAAACTGAGGCAGAAGGAAAAGAAGATGAACTTGAAGGGGAGACTGAGGCAGAAGGAAAAGTTGTTGAACATGAGGGGGAAACTGAGGCAGAAGGAAAAGAAGATGAACTTAAAGGGGAAACTGAGGCAGAAGGAAAAGAAGATGAAGCAGAAACTGAGGCAGAAAGAAAAGATGATGATCAAGAAGGGGAAACTGAGGCAGAAGGAAAAGTTGTTGAACATGAGGGGGAAACTGAGGCAGAAGGAAAAGAAAATGAACTTGAAGGGGAGACTGAGGCAGAAGGAAAAGAAGATGAACTCGAAGGGGAGACTGAGGCAGAAGGAAAAGAAGATGAACTCGAAGGGGAGACTGAGGCAGAAGGAAAAGAAGATGAACTCGAAGGAGAAGGTGAAATCCAAGTTGATGACACAGAGGTAAAAGATGGTGAAGGTGAAACAGAAGCCAATGCTGAAAATCAGTGTGAGACCACCCAAGATGAAAAAAATGCAGATGATGAAGGGGGAAGTGATGGAGGGGATAGTGGAGAAGAGGAAGATGATGAAGAGGAGGAAGAGGAGGAAGAAGAGGAAGAAGAGGAGGAGGAAAATGAGGAGCCTCTGTCCTTGGAATGGCCTGAGAGTAGGCAGAAGCAGGCCATTTACCTCTTTCTCCTGCCTATTGTGTTCCCACTGTGGCTGACAGTCCCCGATGTACGGAGGCAGGTAAGAGTGCCTAGCTGTGTCTCAAACTGCCCTTCCTGAGACAGACTTAGGTACTGGGAAGAAGGCTGGGGAACCTAGCTAAGTAGACTTCACCCATTAGGATATGGGGTAGGGCTGTAGCTCTGCAAGGAATAGTGTGCCATATCTATGAGTCAGAAGTTGGAGACCTCAGGTGTGTCTTATGTCTGCCACTACGAGCAGTATGAACCAGTCCCTCCTTTACAATCTCAGCATTCTGGTCTTAGTATGGCAACTACGGCCTTGTACCCATCCATAGTTCATAGAGGTAGTCTGAAAACCCAGGGTGATAATGCTATTTTGCCACAATCATTCTCTCTTATGTAGATTAAAGTCTAATATAGTCCACCTGAAGTCCAGAAAGGAATGGGGAAGGTGCAAAAGTCAAATTCAAGTACTTCTCTGGGTCTGATTCTAGAGCAAGCTCATAGCTCTCTCTAGCCTGGTTCTATTGAATGCCTGTTAGACAGGCTAGCCCCCCACCACCCCCATCTCCTTACTGATCAGCTCCAGGGGCTCCTTGGGGAAAGGGCCATTGCTTCATGCAGACCTTTCCTGTTCTTCCTCATTATTACCGATCCACTAGACATCATCACATTTTGGAGCTCCTTCAGAGAGGGAGCCAAAGATCAGCCTCTGCAACTAATTTCTCTTCCCTTTACATCTCCAACAGGAGTCCAGGAAGTTTTTTGTCATTACCTTTCTGGGATCCATTATCTGGATAGCCATGTTCTCATACCTCATGGTATGGTGGGCTCACCAGGTGAGTGAACAGTAGTTCAGTCCTCCATCAGCAAATCCTAGGATTTGCTGATGCATTTCCAGTGTCCAGGCCTATCAAGATCCAGTGTACTTGTGGTTTCCATGCTGTTTGTAAAGGCCTTCAAAGTAGGCATTTATTCCATGGACTGTTTTCCAAATGTGGCTTTCTTATTTTAACTGGTATTCAGCTGTATCATGGCACAGGAGGTCCTTCACATCCAGATTCCAGTGGACCAGGCTGGCCTGACCTCCCCATCTCCAACCTGGTGAAATATCTTCCTTCACTTGATTGATTTAGTTGGGTCTGCTTGCTAGCATTGTGCAGTTGCTGCCTGAGTATCAAGAGATTTTGTGTTCTGCCCAAAACAGCACTTACCACAGAGCTGTGATTGCAAGCTTTTGTCTAGGCTAAACACATGAACAATAGTGCCCAAACTTCTATCTACATCCTGGCCTAGCTCCCAGGATGCATTGCATAAGTCACATGTCCAGAGATGAAATGTTGACAGAGTAGACTATTGGAGGGGCAGTTCTCTAGGCATGCAGAGTTGTTGCAGTTGGGATGACAGTGAAGGGCAGCTCTTGTGTCATTAGGCGTTTAGTACCCTCAGTGAAGAGCTGTGTGACTACCTGGAGCCTAGAACAGGAGCCTGGCTCTTTCTCACCAGCCCCATCCCCATTCCTCTCTTGCAGAGGGCATGTGCAGAATCTTCTTGTCAAATATTGTGTCACTGGTGCTGTGAACCCTCAGATTTTCCATCTGGTGTTGCCATGGTTCCTCATCACTGTTGCTGTCTCTTATCAGGTCGGTGAAACCATTGGGATTTCAGAAGAGATTATGGGTTTGACAATCCTAGCAGCAGGCACTTCAATTCCTGACCTCATCACCAGTGTGATCGTTGCCCGGAAAGGCCTGGGAGACATGGCCGTGTCAAGCTCAGTGGGCAGCAACATATTTGATATCACAGTAGGGTGAGTGATAATATTAGTTTCTAAGGCATCTTCAGAGCAACTGAAAACTGCATTGGTTCAGTTGGCTGGTTTTCTACTTCATTCATTATAGATGCAACAAAAGGGCATTTGTATATACAATGAAATACCTTCCCTTCATTCACCATGGCCTGAAATGTAACTGACTGGAACTTACAGATGAATTGAGAAGTGAGGTTCATTAATTCCATTTCCCAATACAGTAAATACTGCTCTTCAAGGAGGTAAAGAAGGAAGGGTCTGGAAGGAGCTGTTTCAATCCTTCATCTTCACATCTGGGCTCCTGCTAGCTCAGAGGCTTTAAATAGCCTTTTGTATAAACAAGAACTAACCATCCTCCTGTGTTACTGCTCCCTCCCTGCTCCTGGTCTCCCAAGGTGTCAGAGCACCTGGGCTGCTTTCATTTCCCTGGTCATGTCTTGGATTTGATTATTTTGCTTGGAATTTATGTATGTGGATGTTAGGGAGGGGCAGTGGGTGGTGTAGGCATCAGAAAGATCTGATCACTAAAGAATATTTATCCTGAGGTAGTTCTTAATCATAAGAACTGAGAAATTAGTCACACATTGACTAGGGTTAGTCCTATATATCACTAAGCTTGTGGGGGTGGGACTCAGACCAGGACATTTTTTTTTTTTTTTTGAGATGGGATCATACTGGTGCAGGCTATACTCAAACTAAGGATCCTTCTGTCTCAGTGCCTGGTACTGTGCTAACATGCCTAGCTCGGAGTACATGTTTTAACCCAGCCTCTCAGCAATAAGCCTTGAACCCTTTGCCAAGTAATTTTGTTTCCCTATCCTGCATTTCCTCATCAGTGAACTGGTTAATAATTTCTGCTTTACTTCACCTTGTATGTGTGAAAAGTAAGAACTCTGTAAACATTAAAACACTAATCAAGCACCTGGCATATTATAAACAGCCAGTGTTCACACTGTTTGTCTTTTGCAGCTTACCTGTCCCCTGGCTCCTCTTCTCTCTCATCAACACCCTGCAGCCTGTTCCAGTCAGCAGCAATGGCCTGTTCTGTGCAATTGTCTTGCTGTTTCTCATGCTCCTGTTTGTGATCTTCTCAATCGCATCATGTAAATGGAGAATGAACAAGATCCTTGGCTTCACAATGTTCCTTCTTTACTTTGTATTCTTGGTAATCAGTGTGATGTTAGAAGATCGAATCATATCCTGTCCTGTATCTGTCTGACTCAGTCACTGATGCTCAAGATGGACATAGACCAGAAGACCATGCCAGAAGCTACTGTCCCTCTTGCCATACCAGTCAAAGAAAGGACATGATCAGGAATGTGAACTGGACAGCCTAGATTCTCTGAAGTGACTGTCATTGTGTTGGAGGCTTCTCTTTGCAAATACCTGCATTTCCTGGTGGATTAAGAACATTACCTTGGAAGGGAGACTTCCTATCACTCAGGTCTGCACCTCTCACAAAATCAGCAGGAGGGCCCCTGCAGCCAGAGGACTTTCCAAATGAGACCTTGGTTAAGGCTGGTACAGCAGAAATAAGACAAGCATTCTTTCTCGAAATTCCCTGGTCACTCCTGAAGAGCCTCTGGACCAGGGATGTAGGTGTTGAAGGCTAGCTCTCCTGGTCACAGCCCCAAACACGTACTGCCATGTGCTATTCCTCTTGGTGCAAATGTTTAGTCACGCCAGGTCTGCAGTTGTTATAAGTTCAGCTAATGAGTTTAAGGAGCTAAGGCTACAGAGGGGCAGTAATAAATTTATCACTCTTCTCTATAGTCCTGTAAGATGCAAGCCACTGTTTTCTATGTTAAAAGGAAGCTTCTATTGTTGCATTTCTGAAAAATGAGATTAAAACAATAAATAGCCTAAGAAATGGAAGTGTATAAATTGCCTTGACCTGAAGGCAGAGATTTGAGAAAGAAACCTACTCTTAGGGCTATTTAAAAATAGGTACTTACTGGAAAATCCATGTTTGCTTTTTGTCTCCATCAGACATTCTGACACAGCTTCCCTGCTGCCCTTCAAGCATTTTCTTGTCCAGGAGTGACAACTGTCACTAAAGAGTCAAGGGGATGTATTTGCAGAGAGCACAAGCTGGCTTAAAGAAATCTAGGGCTCAGTGCTATGTTTGTATGTCAATCTAGACATGACTCCAGACCAAGACTAGTCCTGTGTATACTTTATCAGCTGATCTTAAGACAATTTACCAAGGAGAAATTTCAAAAATGCTTAGCACAATGATGACATAGTGAGAAAGAAAAGAGTAACGCTTGCTATGCAGACTAGGCTGGCCATGAACGCAAAGAGATCTACCTGCCCCTGCCTCCTGCATGCTGGGATTAAAAGTATGGCCACTACACTTGGCTGAGTATTTATTTTTAAGGTTACAAAGGACACTAAAAAAGTTAAGGTTAAATATTTTCTATGAAATTTCATATGCTTGCATATTAAATACCATTGGTTGCTGCTTTTATTAGCATCAGGCTGAGGAGAATGTTAGAAATAAAATTTTCTTATCATTGGTTTCAGAGTACAAGGAGCTTAAGCATCTGCAGATTATGTTTAAGTCATAAACATCAGAATGATGTAATGGTAATATGTTGGAAGACAGTAGGACAGATATGAAGTAAAAACAATGGATTATTCTGGAGTTGGAGGGTGAAGGTATTTAAGTATTCATCTTTTAAGATGGCTGTACTTCTTCAAGGTTCCCATTTTTTGGAAATAACTTTAATTAAATTTCAATGAAAACTGTGAATCCATTTGTATTTTATTTTACAAACATGTATGGATTCACCTATCTTTAGGCCAACTGGTCAGAAAACTCAGTAAGAAGACTGACAAAGAATACAATATGCTCAAATTCTATACTCTGTGTGTGTGTGTGTGTGAATGTGCTCATACATGTACATGCATGTAAGCATGGAAGTGAACACTGGGTGTCTTTTTAAATCATTTTCTACCATTTTTGATATGGGCTCTCTCACTGAGTCTGAAACTCACCCATTAGGCTAGACAGGCTCCTTGTTTCTCTTCATCCCCAGACTGGGATTACAGGTATCTGTCTTTTATGTGGGTGGTGGAAGATCAAATTCAGTCCTTAACGCTTGCTATATGAACAGTTCACCTGCTGAGCCAACTCCTTCCCAGCCCCTCAAGTTTCATATTCTTAATCACCTGCATTCCTGGTATAACTTTTTTTGTGGGGCCTGCGCAGGCCACTGCTGAATAGGAAAGAACAATCCCAAGGAAAGGAAGGCTAATACTCAAACCCTAGGCACTGACCTGTTGTTAGCAGTCAGCTCCAGCTTGCCTCAAGGATGTCACCATGCCAATAGTCAAAGGTCTGATGCTCAACAGGCTGAGTGGTGGACAGTGAGATAGTCCACAATTATAAAATCATTTGATAATTAAAACTAACTAGAATGATCTTACATTCTTTCCCCAAAGCAGCACAATTTCTGGCATTTCCCTTTGCCCACAAAGGAAGTTCCAACCACTTCATATTGTGACAGGAAAGTACAAAAAGAAAAGTTGGGTTTCTTGCAGATGAGTGGGGAGGTGCTGGGTGAGGGGAAATACTTTTGGTACAAAGAAAACATAACTTTAATTAGTATGTTTTTTTTAACTAACATATATGTGGGCTTGTGAGTATATGCCACATGTATGTGGGTGACTCAAAAGTCAGAAAAGGGGTCAGATCCTTTGTAGCTGGAGTTACAGGCAGTTGTGTGCTTTCTGATGTGGGTGCTGGCAACTGAATTTGAGTCATCTGGAAAAGCAGTAAATACTTTTAACCACTGACTCTCTCCAGTCTCAAAACACTTAAGTTTTTTTTTTTCTTTTTCTCTTCCATAATACATTTTTAAATCCTAGTGATTAAATCCAGGGCCCCTGTCATGATAGGCCAGTGGTTGTCAACCTTCCTAATGCTGCAAGCCTTTAATATAGTTCCTCATGTTGTGGTGACCCCCAACCATAAAATTAGTTTTCATTGGTACTTCATAACTGTAATTGTGCTACTGTTATGAATCATAACATAATTATCTTGTGTTTTCTCATGGTCTTAGGCAACTCATGTGAAAGGGCATTTGACCCCCAAAGGGTCTTGACGCACATGCCTAGAACCACTGTGTTAGGCAAAGGCAGCACCACAGGGTTGTATCTCTTAGGATGTTGTGTGTGTGCATATGTGTGTGCTAAGGGGTATGTGTGTGTGTTCGCACACATGACCGCACCTGTATAAGTCACAAGAGGGTGTTGCATCTCCTAGACCTGAAGTGGGTGCCCCTTGATGTGGACACTGGGGTCTGAATTCAGGCTCTCCAGAAGAGAAGTAAGCACTCTTGACTGCTGAGCCGTCTCTCCAGCCCCAATCTGTATAACTTCTAAAAGAACCAATTAAATTTGTGTTATATATTTATAAAGCTACCACAACTTACTAAAAGCATGCCTTTTAAAAAGAGATAAACCAGTATGCTAACACACCAAGATAGTGTTGAGATGGACCTTTCACTTGATAGCAAACAATCTGTAGACATACTGAAGCAAATTCTACCTCATTCTTTGAGCCTAGAAGTCTGAGCTGTGGCAGGTGGAGTGTGAGCTGGCAACAGTGCCTGCAGGCTGTCATCTTCTTCCTGCAGCGGCAGTTCCTTGATATCCTAGCAACAGATTTGGGCCATATTCCTAAAAATATGAAGCACTTCCTGATTAAATGGGTTAAAATTTTATGTAATCAATGAAAATAGACCGATCTGAAATTTTTGAAAATTACTGTTTTAAAATAGCTGCTATATATATATATATATAGAACATAATACTGTAATGTCACCAACAGATATAAAAATGGTTTTAATTGTTTCTTTTTTTAAAACAACACTGTATCAGAATTTTTGTTTACTTAACTGAGTTCTGAGGGGGCAGGAACTGGAATTTATGTTGAAAGTACAGTTTGGTAGGTAAATGGAAATAATTGGTTGCCCTTATCAGCAGGTACAGCCTATAAGTGTTCTGGGGCTGGTCCCTATGAAGAAAAAGGGCTCTCTGTGCAAGCCTGCCCATCCCTAAAGGGTAACTAGAGCCTGGCAGGATATCTGTGCCCAAGTTAGCCTGCACAGCCAAAGGTATATTTCTGGTCTTCAGGTCCTTCTCTGCAATTAGTGAGTAAAACCTGAAAATGTTCCTTTGTAGACTAGTCTACCAGTTGCTACATTAAAAGAAAATCATTTGGAAATAACTATATAAAGAGGAAGTCATCTAACAAACAGTAGGAACTTTCTCAGCAGAGTCTGTCTGCCTCTGAGTGTGAGTATATGCACAGACATCAGACTTACACAATTCCTATACAGATGAGTGCCCTGCTAGCCTTTGGGGCTAGCAAAGGAAGGAAGTATGAGGTGTGTGGGAGGTTGATAAGACTCCAAGTCCTGAGGATGTTGATGTCCATGAAGGTAGGCAGCTGCTAGAGTTCAGTTCACACAGGGCTTCGTACTGAATCTAAACAGGATAAACACACTAGCCACAGCACCAGGCCAAGATCTCCCAAGTCTGCTTGTTCTTTCTCTTCTCTGACATGAAGTGCCTAAAAGCAGACTTTAAATTATGGTGGAAGAAATAAAATGCTGAACTACTGCCTATTTTTAAAGAAGTATTTTCTTTTCTAAGTTATTTAAAATACAATGAAAGCGATATACAGGATTAGCTAACACTTGTTAGTTGTATCAATAAATAATAATTATCATCATGAAGTAAAAATAAGTATTTATTGCCTAAAATGCTGAACCAACATTTTTAGGGTCATTTCTCTATATACAAAAATGAGAAAACACACTAGACAACCTTATTACAGATAAGTTGATAGTTTTGGGATTTAAAGGTTTAAAAAAAGAGTTAAGAAAAAAGACAAAATCAGAAAATGAATAGCTATGTACTATGACATCTGGCAACAGGAGGAAAATGTTGAATATTTAAAGAAGTATGTACATATACAAAATAACATTCGGACCTAATGAGAGTCTTAAGCAAACTATAATAGCAAAAGCATGGTTTATTTGACACAATTTAAATATAAGCTAAACTAAGAATGAAAAATAAGGACTTAAGATAGTGGAGGACATTGCTCTCTGATGCTATTGGTCACAATTTTCCAAGATGTATGTTTAATAAAAAACTGAAAAACAGCTTATATTAAATTGTTTCAGAAGATGATCCTTATTTTAGTTTTCTTTGAACAGGA